ATATTTATTTATTATATTTATTTTATTATATTAATTTAAATTAAAGATGCACCGGATATCTGAAAGACATCTGATATCCGATATTATCTAGCACTTTTTTACGATTCGTCCGGACAGTCATTAATATCCGGGAAAATATCCGGTTGAAATTTTATATCATTAAATTGTTGATTTTTTATTATATAAATGTTCCATAGATAAGTATGTATACTTATAATGCTATAATATTTTATATATACTATTGCAAAATTACAATTTTTTTCTCTACAGATTTTTTTCCTTTTTAAAAAACATTGTCCCGAAATCCGGTCAGATATCCGAAAAATATCGGATATCCGATAAAAATTATTTTTCTGGATATCCGATTGGATACCAGATATCCAATATTATATTCTTTTTGGATATCCGATATCCGGTAATTTTACGATCCGGTGCATCCTTATTTTTTTATAATATTTATTTCATAAATTATTTTTTTCTCTCCACTATACCTAAGTAAAACGGTGTAAAATAGATATCAGAGATATTAAATAAAACTAGTGTTACAATTTTCTATACTTATAGTACTTATAATATAATGTCTTCGAAATACATGCATTTTTCAGAAGATCTTTGGAAACTTCTAAAGATTTTAAGTGACAAATACTCTGTTTGGAAATTATGGTCATTCTTTGAGTACATAGTATCTATCAGACATCCCGATGATCTAGAGGTAATAAAACATTGTCCAACAAAATTTGATTTTTTTTTATCTTTGATATGTGGAGTGTCATTTCTTGAAGATTTTTAGCCGCTGGATTTGAATCCGTGTTTAGAAATATTATTCCAATTTTTTATCCTCTATATTATCTCACTTTTTCGAAAATGTAACATGATAGACAAATTATAAAAATAGTATTATTTTCAGCGTTAAAAAATATACAAATAATACTTCGGAAATAATACTTAGCAAACCAAAGACAAAGTCAATGACAGCAAAATATAACAAAAATTCTATATACATTATTGTCAAACTGGAATTTTAGCAATTTTTCGTTTATTTAAATTTAATAAATAATAATAAAAAATAATTTAATAAAACATAATAATTAAATTAATTATAAATAATTAAATAATAAAATAACACTCATGACGACTAATATTTTAAGAATAATGAAACACATGTGAGAGATACTTCCAAATGATTAATTAATTATTTCTTTAAGGCCAGTACTCACAGGGCTGATTCTTATATTTTTGGATTGTCTCAAGTATAATCTTAAGATGTCAATCAATCAAAAGACCGTTTATATCTTAAGATATTGCATAAAATAATTTTGAAATTAGTAGTATTTAATTTAATACTTTCTATAATTTTGCAGATAATACTAAGTAGCACAAAGCATATCAATAAAAGTAGACTTTATAATGTATTACATCCTTGGTTCGGCACGGGTCTTCTCACCAGTGGAGGTAATTATATTAAATGTATATATATTTCTCTCAATAATATATGTATATCAATATATGTATATCAATCTTGATAAAAAGATAATGAATCATTACTTTCGAAATACAACGTTAACGAATTACTTTTAAAAATTACTAACTAATAATGATAACAAGTTACTTTTTATAAAAAGTAACGGTAACGCGTTTTCATAAAGAAACATTTCCAACTCTGTTAATTTTAATATTGAATTCAAAAGAGAGAAAGATTTGGCATATATAAGTATCATTTATATGCGAGTTTAATAGTGTTATTATATAATTATGTGTCCTCATTTTATTATTGTTTTAGGTTCCAAATGGCAATCTCGACGAAAAATATTAACATCTGCATTCCATTTTAATATATTACAACAATTTGTTGAGATTTTAATCGAAGAGAGCGAGAACATGACGAAGTCTTTGAAAAATACAGAAGGCACAGTTGTAAAAAATTTAGTACCATTCATTAGTGAACATACGCTGAACGCATTGTGCGGTATTGTAATCTGTGTATATCTATGTAAAATTTTATTGTAAATAATATTAGCAAACTACAGAATATAAACTTATATAAAATATAAATGCAGTGAATATTATATATATGTTATGATAATTATAAAGTTATCTAATTTTTATTAAGATATTTTTAAAATGTATAATTAAATTACAATAATATAACTTTTTTGTAGAAACTACTATGGGCATCTCTCTAAAAGAAATGAATTTAGATCAGCAACGATACCGAGATGCAGTTTATAAAATGAATCAAATTATAATTTATAGGTAATATTCACAGGTTAAAATAAACTTTTATCTGTGATATTTGGAGAAATGAATTAATATTAAATAATCACACAAATGCACGCACACATGAAGATAAATAATGAATTATATTCAATCTTATTTAAAATAATACTTTCATGTATGTTCTACTAGAATACAAAATACAAAATATATGTATTGCAAATATAATAACAATATAAAATATTGTTTCAAATAAAATTATTTCAAATATTAGGTGTAGTAAAAAAAAATCCATTATTTTTCCATTCAATTTCATGAAAAAATAATGGATTTATTTTTACTACACCTAATACATTCTACTCAGCTCTGCTAATAATGCATGTATTACGTGCTTTTGTTTTTTGTAATTATTAAAATATTAATAAATGATTAACAATTTAAAAAATCTTGTACAAAATAATACTATCATAATACTTAAAAACGTATATATTATATACATATATATTATAACATTTTATAACTATGATTTAGAATGATGAGGCAATGGCTGAGAAATGATTGGATATTCTCATTAACACCTAAAGGTAGAGAACAAGTAAAGATCCTGAAGATATTGCACGGATTTACTAAAAAAGTATGTAACAATTTTATCTTCTTTAATAATTTTGAATATTCTACTAAATAAAATCATTTTATCTTTTATAAAAATTATTTTAATTTCGTTCAAAATATTAATAAAATAATTTGTAAATATTGATAAACATATCCTTAGTTCATTTACAAATGAAAAGAAAATTAATATATGATATGTGTAGATTATTGCAGAAAGAAAAGTTTATCATAAATATACCAATGGGCAATATTTAAAAAATTTTGGCGAAGAAGCAATTGTAGAGACAGATGATATAGATAATATTAAAAGTACGTAATACATAGGGAAGTTGTGGATGTCTTAACTTCTATCATTTAATATTAAAAATTATTGTTGCATTAAAATTTAAATATATTATTATATTTTTTATATTTTATTTTTATATTATATTTTTATATTATATTTTTTATATTTGTTTAATTACTATTAAGTAACATTAAGTAACTATTAAGTAAACATTAACATACTATTAAGTAACATACACATTGCTGTGAATTAAATTACTTCAATATTTGTAATATAATTTAAATTTATTGTTAAGTAAAAACAATACAAAAAAATGTGCTTTATAAATTGGTATTTACATATTTATAAAATTTGATTTAGAACGAAAAAAAAGACTCGCTATGTTGGATCTTTTAATACTGGCGTCTCAAGAAAATCTTTTGACTGATTTAGATATTCGAGAAGAAGTTGATACCTTTATGTTTGAGGTAAGCATTTGGAACTTTTCTTCTTTCTTTAATTATGCGTTATCTAAGTAGATATATATTAACGTAATATAATTACAGGGTCATGATACTACAGCAATGGGTATTTGTTTTGTTTTATCATTATTGGCTGAGCACAAAGATATACAGGTATTTTTTGTTTAAATATTATGAAAAGAAAAGAATAATTCCTTTACTCAACAAAAATTTATTAAAATAGAAATAATAAAGAAATAATAAGTTCTTTGTGAGTCTGCATTCGCGTTTTTCGCGAGATTCTAAAATTCAATTAATTGAGATCCTAAACTAAAGATTAAATTCCGACAAAATTGCTGTTTTACCAAATCAATGGGACTTACAAACATATGATTTATGTGACATTAATACATCACTACATACTCTACTACATACTCTACTATATCAATATTTTTCGTAAAGGATTTTCATATCAAACTATTGTCTAAATTTAATTCTCTAAGAGCGTTATTTCTTCATGCAATCTATTAGTCTTCAATTTCGTGAGAGAGAGAGAGAGAGAGAGAGAGAGAGAGAGAGAGAGAGAGAGA